TTTGTCATTGTTTATTTTATATATAATAGTTAGTGATTGATTTTTTGGATAATATAAAGTCATTAATTATTAAAATAAAATGTAAAAAACTCAGTTTATAGTGATTTAAAAATATGAAATATATTGCATCATACTTAAAAGTTTATAAAAATTGATCAATATTTATTTTTAACCCAATAAATATAATCATGGAAAAAAAAATATGCGTATTGGTAAGTTTTTCTCAAATTGTGTGAAAAATAAAAAAATTCACGATTCCGGTTACCGCAACCGTTACGCTACGGCCTTTACGCCCCGCAACCGCAACCGCAACCGCAACCGCGCTACCGCCACCGTTACAGTGACCGCAACCGCTTTTCAGAACCTTAAACCCAACACAAATGTATCACACATTATGCATTGAGTATTAATAATAGGGAGAGAAACTTTGATCAGTTCACTTCTAGTCTTTTCCCAACTATACATATATATATAATCGTATATTTCTATTAATCAAAAAGAGGGCACCATCAGTGCTCCCATGTACCAAAATAATTAGAAATGCAAAACACCAAAATTGAGCTTGGCCAAAATCAGTTCTTCTTTCATTACTCTTCCTTATTTAAACACTATATAACAACTAATCATATAAAGTCAGTTCAAATAAAAGATCAGAAGTCCATTTAGCCATTCAATAATAGAGCACACCAGCAATTTGAAATTAAGTACAAACTATAAACATACCAGCTCTTTTACTAAATGTGCGAAGGACAATTAGATTTTCATGCCTCTTCACCCATTGCATCTTAGATTCAATTCCTGAAAATTCAATGTATGCTTCATCCAGCACAACCAATATAGGCAGATCAAGGATCTTCAATAGAACTTCATCACTGATTATACTGTCAAACAACAAGAAGACAATACGATAAATCATGTTAGAACCTGAAATGAAGCCTGTTAGAAAACAGCAATATATATATATAAACTTGCCACATTCAAAGGGACAATCTGCATACTCAGTAGTAAAGCAAAACCATGTCATAGTTCTACTAGCAGTTCATAACCTGAAACATCACCTAGTTGGATAACCAAATAAAAAGTCCAATACAATTATGTTGTTTCTCGACTCACACAAGGACAATTCAGTACAAACAATATTTTATAAATAATAATAACTGTCAAGCATAAATAATCACATAACAGCCCAACTCCTTTTCTTTTTAGATCATCATGTCAGACACCTTATATTTGCATCAAATATCAAACATTGATACCTATGTGAACTTCCCCATTGCATGACTCTTGGCAATGGCTGGACATTTTACATTTTTTCCTTAACCCTCAATTATTGAGAACAAAGGACCAAGATGAACTTCTTCGTCCACACACTCTTATTTCACATAGAACAATATTTTGATCACTGATACTGTCACTAGATTTGGCATGTTGCTAGTCATAAGTTCATAATATATATCTTCAAGCCACTTAAAAATTGTGGGCAATTCTTGGATGGAAAGATGACGCATAGCTGAAATCCTGAAATATAGACTACGGTCAAAGCGATATGATTACGAATCAAAGTCAAACAACTATAATGTCTAACACCTGTGCCATTCAGGAGGTGACAAAGAAAGTGAACGTGCAAAAATGGTAACGGTAACCGCCGTCATGCTCTCCACACATGACTTCAAAGTATACTGATTGGCCTCCACATCCGACTGCACTGCCATTCTTTGCTCCACCGACTGCATCGGAAAGTTCAATGGAGCAAACTCCGGGGCACTTGGTTGAGGTTCCAGTGCCACCACACCAGTTCTCTCTCTTGTTGACTCGTTGAGGTCGGGAAAGAGGGTGAGCAGTCCACGGGAAGACGAGGACGAGGCCATTTTCTGGGGCAACAGAGTGTTACAGACTATCTCTCTCAGCAAAACGAAGAGTTTTTCCGAGGTTTTTCGCAGGTTTTTCTGCCTCTGCCTCAGCCTTCGTCTTGGTTAAATAGCCAAGGCCGATCCGCGCATCGCGCGCCACTTGCCGACAGACGACCAAACGGGCGCGCAAGCCCAGGCGCCCACGTGCCTCGCCATCATGTCCGACACACCTTTTGATGAATTGGGCACGCCTTTTGATGGCACGCCTTTTGACAAAATTGGGCACACCTTTTGAGGGTGCAACTTTTGCAACGGTCCGACATGACCCCATAAATTGTCCCGACATTGATTCCGGTTAGCATTTTCAACGGTCCGACATGACCCTATAAACTGTCCCGACATTTGATTCCGGTTAGCTTTTTCAACGGTCCGGCATGACCCCATAAACTGTTCCGACATTGATTCCGGTTAGCATACAGTGTCCTCTACCACGTTATGACACCACCATCCAGTGTCCTCTACCCCGTTATGACACCACCTTTCAGTGTCTTCACCAACGGTCTGACACGACCATACAGTGTCTCCTATCTTTTTTTTTTATTTTATTTTTATGTATTTTATTATTTTGTTCCTCTCTCCAAACTCAAGTTGGTTAGTTTCTATCCTCCTTGAGTTTGCGGGGGGCTGTTAAAATATGTTAGTGCATTATATTGTTAGTATATTCTATGTTGTTATTAGCTGTAAAGTGTGTCCTAGCTGATCATGATGTCTTTGCTTTCGGTCCAACCTCTGTACGCTCTTCTATAAAGAAGAGTAAGTTTCTCCTTATGTAATAAACACATAAACCAATCAATCAATAATACATATATTTTAACACTTCTTGGTTTACCCATTAAGAAGATATGCATCCTGTTAATAAGAATACACCAGAGAGAGACAACATATATGCATCAAATTTACAGCCCGAACTCCACATTGGATATCGCTTAAAATCATTAGCTTAACCTTTTTCATTTCTAATGAAATAGCATATAAACAAATGCCAAAATGTTTGCCAAGTTAATGAATTCCCAAAAGCTAAAGTTGTATATCAAGCTATCCAACACGCCATTCACATGCGACCCCAGCTTGCATGTGGAGAAGAGAACAAACTGAACTGCATAGAGTGCATGATAAAAATAAAATAAAAAGAATTCATGAGACTAGAACCCAAGGCCTCTTAGAATCAAAACTTTGATACGATGTTAAAGACCAAAGAGAGAAAAGAAGATGAGGAGAAGCGTATGTAGTACCCTAGGCATTACCCTTTCCTTTTTTCTTTTTTCTTTTTTTATTTTGATTTGCAAAAGTCAATTGTTAGTCATTAGATTAGCTCCTAGGGGGAGTTGAATGCCCAACCTCTCCCTTGCAAGCACCTGAGTGTTGCCTCCAGCTAAAGTTGTTTTCATGGTATTTGAGTGTTTTCATTTTTCTTTATATTTCGTAGGTCCATCCCTGCTTCATTGTCAATGTAATTATGTGTTTATGGGTTGACATGAGGTGTTGTATGAAGATATCCCCAAGTAAATGCAGAAGGAATTTTATAGGTAAAATGTAAATTTTCTTAGTTACTAAATGATTATGTTAATCATGTTTAATCAAAAATTAATTAAGGAATTGAATATATTTAAGTGTACGTCCCACTAAGTTTAGATATTGTTTGGTTTCAACTTCCACCTTAAATTAATATTAATTGTGTGTGTAAATTTGTAGTCTTTCCAAACATGGCATAAGAGGTGATGAGACAACATTAAGTGACTTAATGAAGCAATTCGTCAAACCTTAACGACTTGGATTAAGCTTCATGGATAAGGTCAAACCACAAGAAGACACCTCATGCTTGGTAGAGTTAGTGGGAAAATCCAACATCCACCATCCACACCTCCTGCTTGAATTCCTCATGCTTGGATTGTAAAGGAAAAAATTGCAGAAGAGAAAAATAAGACAAGCCTCCCATTCTGCTCCCCCAAATTCTATTTGAGAGAGGGTTAAAAAGTGAGAAAGAGTATAGGGAGAGAGATAAGAAGAAGAAAAAACTGAATAAAATAAAGAAAATTCAAGAAAAAATTGGAAAAGATTGTTTACAAGGTAAGAATTTATTTTTCTACGTTCTTTTCAGGTTCTCCATCTAATCTTCATTTACATGAAAATTCACTAGCACCACACAGATGGCATAGAATAGTTGATTTGGGCCTAAATCCGGTATATAAATGAAAAAGAATCAACTTAAAGAAACTTAAATTGAGTTGTGTATTTGAGATTTGAAACTCGAGACTAGTAGTTTGAGAACTTCGGACCTAGATATAGATTGCACTCGATAATTTGAAATCTTATGTAGAAATTTAATGTATAAAGAGAAATGCTTGTATTATTGATTGATTTTTATTGATATCTATTACAATGATTCATGATTCCTATATATAGAAGAGGGTGAGTGTGTAGTAGGTAAGGAGTAGGTGAAGTGGAGGTGGTAGTGGTGTAGTGGGTTAGGTTTAGTGGAGTAGGTGAGGTGGTAGTGGTGTAGTGGGTTAGGTTTAGTGGAGTAGGTTTAAGTGGGTGAAGTAGGTGGAGAGTAGGTGGATTTTAACAGCCCCCGCAAACTCAAGGGGGATAGGAACTAACCAACTTGAGTTTGGAGAGAGTAACAAAACAAGAAAATACATAAAAATAAAAGAGGATAAGAGACACTGTATGGTCGTGTCAGACCATTGGTGAAAACACTGGATGGTGGTGTCATAACGTTGTAGAGGATACTGTATGGGGGTGTCATAACCATGTAGAGGACACTGTATGGTGGTGTCATCACGGTGTAGAAGACAGTTTATGGGGTCATGTCGGACCGTTGTAGAAGACAGTTTACGGGGTCATGTCGGACCGTTGTAGCACAACACTGTTGTGACAGTTGTTGTGACAGTTTACGGAGTCTTGCTGGACCCTTGTAGAAACTAACCGGAATCAATGTCGGGACAGTTTACAGAGTCTTGTCGGACCCTTAAAAAGTCGCACCCTCAAAAGGTGTGCCTAATTTTTCAAAAAGGCGTGCCATCAAAAGGCGTGCCCACTTTATCAAAAGATGTGCCATGAAAAGGCGTGCCAGTTTGTCGGGCGTCAAGAGGCGCGCGATGCGCGTGGCTGCCTCGGCTATTTAACCAAGACGGAGCCTGAGGCCGAGGCAGAGGCAAAAAAAAAAACCTGCGAAATCCTCTGAAAAATTCTGCCGTTTGCTGAGAGAGATACTCTGTTCGTTTGCTGAGAGAGATACTCTGTTCGTTTGCTGAGAGAGATACTCTGTAACACTCTGTAACCAATCCTTCTCTGAAAGTACGAGTCGGAAATCGCTGCTTCGCTGAAACACTCAGCAACCCAAAAAACATGGCCTCTTCTTCCCGTTCAGCTACCCAGAACATGGCCTCTTCCGAGTTGACAATACCTGTCTCAAAAACCCGTAACTCGCAAATTAAAGAGAATAAAAATATATGCTTATTATTTCAAGTAGCTAGTAATTGAATATAACTAACTAACAACCAAACAACTCACTCAAATAAAACATAAACCATCCAGAAGAAACTTAAAGCATTATCATAATAAGGATGAATCAAACACATCACCAGACAACCAACTTCTCAGAATAAGCAAGCAGAAATTCTTAAATGCATCAGAACTAGTTTCACGAAATTTGACAAAACTCGCAGTAGCAACCCGGGCCATTCAATCGAAAACAAGACATCGACTAACATTTTGACATATTCAAGTGGGGATAAATTGAGGTTTATGTGTTGTGTTCAATTTTAAAGTGGCATGTAGTTCGCTCAACCTAAATTTGAATAATTCATAGGAAACTTAACCAATATCACAAAATTAATAAGAAAAAACGAAAGGTCTGCCTAAAGGGTTGTTAGGTAAAACCATTGGTACCCCCATCAAGTGCTCAAGTTTAACTTTAAATGGGCCTTTGTATTAAATACAACATATAACACACAAGCATCTACCATTTAAAACTGAAAATTCACTTAAATGTCTAAATTTTAAGTTAGAGAGGGACTTGAATTATCACTAAATGTTGAAAAATCTTAGTGGAATGTGGCTTTCACTATTTAATCACAATGGGAGAGTTCTTCCTTTAGTTTTAATTTTTAGCACAAGTGATTGAGCACCAAGTTTTATCAAATAGAGCCTAGCAAATATAACAAAATTGAACAAATGAGCTAATAATAAATTTGATCCATTTGATTAGTAGAAGAAAATTGTACAGTTAAACCATTAGTTAATATGGTTAACTATTCGCAAGAGGCCAATTAATGGAGGTTTGAACTAATATCACGAGCACTACAGTAGTAGCCCTAGCACATTCAACCAAAACCAAAAGAAAAAAAAAACAAAAACTCTTTATTGTTATTCTAAGAACCAACAATTGCATAGCCGCGAGAAATTCTCAAATGAAGTAAGTTGTACACCCATCAGAATAAGTGAAGAAGAAATTTGAAAAATATGTACTGATATGTAGGGGAGGACAAATGTCGGGCCAGGTCCGGCCCGCCCGGCACTACATAATAAGGGGTTTTGTGTTTGCCCAAGTCCTTCCCTAACATCAGGCCTCTATATTTGTCCAAGCCCGGTCCAAAAAATAATTATAAATCCCAAGCCCACCCATCGGGCTATATGTTAAAAAAAAATAAATCATTTCATAATTAAATTCAATCACACATTATATTTCTTAAATAAATATATTGACATCATTATAAATTAAAAAATTGTGTGTATAAATTAAACAATTTCTTAAATAAATTTAATTACATATCACCACAAATGTAAGTTTCAATCAAATCAACAAAGATTAAGTCTAGATCGCGACAAAAAATATATATTTTAATGTATTATAAATAATTAATTAAGGCTAGGTTTGGCATAATCTAAAAAAGTTAAAAAGTCAAAAAGTCACTATCATATTTAAGTCACATCACCTTATTTAAGTCACATCACCTCTCTATCACATCATTTCAAACTCAACCCATATTTCATAAAAAGTCAAAAAATACACTTATTTAGATCATCTCAAACAATCCCTAATTTAATAGCGGGCCAAACCGGGTTGTTGACCCAGCCCGGCTGTAAGGACTAAAATAGCCTTCCCAAGCTCTAAAAAAATAGGGTTGGGCTAGGCGGGCCAACAAGCCGATATCCACCCCTACTAATATGTATGTTTTCATTTAGATTCAAGTTAAATCACATCATTTAAAAAAATAATAAAAAATAATTCTCTCTCAATTACAGCAAATAGTAGGGGTGTGCAAAGTACAGAATTACCTGATACACCTACCCGGACCCACCCAATCCAACCACTCTGCGGACGGTTTCGCCAAATTAACAGTAAAAAATGGTTCGTTTTCCATAAATATTTTTGAATTTCGGTCAGATATCGGATTTGATTTTTAAAAAATTGGTTAAATTGAACCGACCGAATTAATTATATATTTAATAAAGGTACTGCAACTTTGCTTTTTACCTCCCAAGATACTCATATCTTCCCCATGCCTGACTTAAGTAATTATATATTAAATACATTACTAGAAAGCTTTGATATATATATATATATATTTATTTTATCTCCCCAAGACCTCGTTTTTTACACTAATATGCTTCCAAGTCTGGCCCAATTAATTATATATTAAATGAAAGCTTTCACAGATTTTTTCCTTTTATTTGCCCAAGATAACTTATTCATTCCCATGTCATCTCTATCTATCTCATATACTCAATTTTCTAGATATCTAAACGTTGTGTCTCTCACTTAAAAAAAAAAAAAACCTCTCTCTTCTCCTCACCCTTTTGTCCACCCATCTCTCTCTATCTATTATCTCTCTCTCTCTCTCTCTCTCTCTCTCTCTCTCTCTCTCTGAACCCCCTCAATTCATCTCAATATGAAAATCCCTCTTATCTCAGATCTACTCATTGAACCCAAAATCTCTAATCTCAACAGCGAAGTGGTGATTGACAACGATTGGCTGAGGGCAAAGCCCATGGTTTCAACTCTCTATTTTGATTTCAGAAATCTCATGCATAATGGCTGAAGCTATATAGTGGCGTGAGACTCCTCTCTCTCTCTCTCTCTCTCTCTCTCTCACTCACAGTTTTCCTTCATTCACCCTCTCAGATCAGGTGTATGAGAGTTATGTTTAAATCACTATGAATTGTTTGTATATTTGATTTTAGTATATATATATTATAGTTTCAAAATGAATAGAATGTTATGCTACTGCTAAAGAATTGCTCTCATTTCTATTTTTTCTTTTTTCTCCTCTCTCTTAGATTTGTATATCTATAGATTAGGGTTTGAAGAAAAGGGGAAAGGTCATCAATTTGGCTGACCGAAACTCAACCAACTAAAACGGTTTCGACTAAAACAGTTTCGAAGTGTATTATGCTCAAAATCGGTTGACGAAACGTTCAACCCGCTAGAGTCAAATCAGTTGACGAAACATTCAACCCCCTAGAGTCAAATCAGTTGACGGATCAATGGCAAATCTAATCCGACTCGACCCGTGCACACCCTTAGCAAATAGAGTTTCAAACCAAACCGAAAAAGACAGATAAACGGCAAGAAACTTTGTATCATATCAGCATCACCGCATTGATTACATTTATGCACTGAAACTATCAAACCGGTAAACTGGTGAGAGAAAATCACCTCAAAAGGCAAAATGGGCTGATAGGGAGACAACTTGCGAAGATGATGACGAATGAAAGAATCTCCTGTCAGCCGTTGTTGACCTTCTTCTTTGACTTGTTGAATGGGTATCGTGGATGCCATACAAGTGACCCTTGACTGATTTCTTTCAAATGAGGAGCAACGTGGTTTATAAGAAGATGCAGATTTGATCATGCAAATAGATGATGACATACTGTGGAAATCAACCACACCCATGAATCTGCATGTTGGAATGCAAGAAATTCAACACAAGAAAATGAAAGAAATAATTAAAAAACAACACAGTTTTAGACCCAATTCATAGTTATGTATTCTTATTGAAGATGGAACATACTTGGGATGAATAAGGAATGAAAAAGTGAAGTGAAGATGATCCAACAAGTTTTTTTTCAGTGCATACAGTGTACCACGCTGGCATGCGTACGTGGTGCCTTTCACCAATTACAACCCGATAACAGTTCTGTAAATTAGATGACATTAGAGCATCTTCAATGGGCTCTCCAAATTTGTGTATTAAAATGTGGTACATGACAAAAGTAATAATAACAGTGTGGACTGATTTTGTGTGTTTAACGTTATCGTGTGTTTCTATATACAAAAAAAAACAAGAAACAAGTTTTTAATTTATTTTTGTAAAAAACAAAAACAGAAAACTTGTTTACTGTACAAAAATATCTTGAAACAAATGAAAATTAAAATAGAAAAACATGTTTGGTGAGATACTGGAGGTGATGGCCGACAGTGAAGGGTGGACGGATGTGGTGAGTAGTGGTGGGGAGTGGTCAGACAGGTTGGTCAGAGGGCAGCCGAAAGGTGGGTCACAAGTCACGGCGGTGACCAACCATTAACTAAAGTGTTCACCGGAAGGTAGCTGAAGGTGGCCTTTAGTAGACTGTAGGTGGGAGGTGGTGATGGCCGAAACTAGTAGGGGAGAGAGGAGTGAGAGTAAAAACTTATTCTGAAAACAGGTTAAAACACATCCTTTTCATTTTTCAAAATTTTAGAATCAATTTTATTTTTTTGAAAACGAACACAGAAGCATTGACAAGTTTAGAATCTAATTCTTTTTTGTTTTTCTATTTTTTTCGATTCTATTTCTTTCCCTTATGTTGTGTTTGGTTGGGAGATTTGGGAAGGGATTTGGAAAGGGAAATGGAAAAGGTAGGTGAAATATGAATAAATCATGCCTATATTTCACATAGTTTCACACACTTTTTCCTTTTTCCTTTCGTGACCAACCATTAACTGAAGTGTTCACCGGAAGGTAGCTGAAGGTGGCCTTTAGTAGACAGTAGGTGGGAGGTGGTGATGGCCGAAACTAGTAGGGGAGAGAGGAGTGAGAGTAAAAACTTATTCTGAAAACGGGTTAAAACACATCCTTTTCATTTTTCAAAATTTTAGAATCAATTCTATTTTTTTCAAAACGAACACAGAAGCATTAACAAGTTTAGAATCCAATTCTTTTTTGTTTTTCTATTTTTTTCGATTCTATTTCTTTCCCTTATGTTGTGTTTGGTTGGGAGATTTGGGAAGGGATTTGGAAAGGGAAATGGAAAAGGTAGGTGAAATATGAATAAATCATGCCTATATTTCACATAGTTTCACACACTTTTTCCTTTTTCCTTTCCAAATCCCTCCTAAAATCCCCTAACCAAACACAGCATTAGTGTTTGTTAGTTTAGAGAGTAAGTCCTCCAATGGTGTAGGTGAACCTCTCTGAAAAATATTTACCAGACCCTAGGCAAACTTCTATTTTATTTTAGGTGCTTGCAGGCTGGCCCTAAGTTTCACAGGAACCTAAGCGAACTTCTAAAAGGGGCCCCTTTCACATATTTACTACTAAAACAGAAAAAAGAAAAAAGTTCGACTGAAATGGATTATCTTAGCATTCACACAGTTTATTTGCATATATAATCACTATAGTCTATCATAAGAAGAAATCATTACAAGAATTCAAAAAGACAAAAATGTAATCATTCAAACATTGAAGACCTTCTTCATTCACAAACTTTCATTATCATTCTCATTCACACATTTATTAGGTTCTTCAATCAGCAGATCTTCATCAACTTTTTTTTCCATCCCAAAACTGTACTACTTAGGAAAATGACTATATAATTAAAAGAAATTCAACCCACAAAAATCTGCAAAGAATGTGTTTACAAACACATTGAAACAGTTACATTAGCTTTAGATCCTTTAAAAAAATTAGGGATTTTTAAAAAATGGGGACATTGAATAGCAAAGAAAGAACAAATTAGGGCACACATAAACAAAAACCTAAAACCAAATTAAGTTGGGGAAAATAAATTATAGAAATTAGAGATTTTTCAAAAGTTTGGGGTTTGTTCCAGCCACTCCATTGGGTTTATTTGCAAAAGATTTATTCCATTAAAATGCTATAAAGAAATAAAGACTAGAGAGAGAGAGAGGACTCACCGGCTCTGCTTGGTCGCCGGTCGCCGATGCTTTGCTTGGTATTGGTCGTTGCTAGCAGCTGCTGCTACTTACTGCCATACATTGATAGATATATAAATACAGAGAGAGAGAGAGGGAGAGAGAGAGACTTCTCTTCATTTTTTCAACATAAAACTGCTCACAAACCTTGGGCCCTCTCAACTTGTTTAACTTTCTTAAAAAGATTGGGCCATACCACTTCTTTTGATTTGGTTTCATAGACATATTTGGTAGAGTTTATAACTTTCTTATTTTAATTTTTACCTTAATTTAAGTTAAAATATTATGTTTAGTGTAGTTTAAATTAACCAATTTATACATTAATCAAACTATTTCTCAGTTTATCTTAAAAGTTGGTCAGGAATGCTTAAATTTTTTACTTAAGTGCACAGCTGGTGTGGTGGGCTAAAATTATTTAAATGCCCTCTTCAATACCCAAATATTAATATTAATATTAATTAAAAAAAATATATATTTCTGAAGAAAAAAATCAATATTAATTGAAAAATAAATATTAATTGGTATTAATTATTAATAAATTCATATTGTATATTTTTATATTAATTAAAAAATAAAAAATTGTATATTTATGAAGAAAAATAAAAAAAATCAATATTAATTAAAAAAACCAATATTAATTGGTATTAATTATTAATTGTATACTTTTGTAATGAATTAATTATTAATTGATACTAATTAATAACAATTGTTGATTATTAATATTAATTGATACTAATAAAAATTAAATATTAATATTAATTTATACTAATTAATAATTTAGTATTAATTGAGACTAATTAAGCCATTAATTGATACTAATTAATAATTTAGTATTAATTGATACTAATTAATTTTATAATAGAAAATAATTGTGCAATAATACTTCCATTACATTTTTAGCAAATATATCAATTTTTATATTAATTGATACTAATTAATAATAATTATATTAACTTTATTAATGAAATATTTTTTTTAAAATTAAAACTGAAAAAAATGACAAAATAATCATTTTTATATCATATAAGGGTAGAAAGGACAGTTATACAATAAAAAGTTATTTTACAGCTTATTAACCAAAAACTACTCTCCTGCTTAAATCCATAATCTCACAGCTGCACCAACCAGGTTAACAGCTTAGATTCACAACTATAAACCATAATCTGTTAAGTTATAATCTATAATCACTCTCTCACACCTCTACCAAATGGGACCTATGCCATGTTTGATTTAGGATTGGATTATCAATACGTGAGACTCATTTAATTTATGTTTGTATGTGGTAAAATGTTATTGGATTAACAATTTTATGAAATTATGAGTCACCTCTCATATAATGTGTTTGGTTCGGAGATTTGGGGAGAAATTTGGAAAGGGAAAGAAAAAATATATGTGAAATTAAGTAAAATTTAGGTATATTTTATTCACATTTCACCCGTCTTTTCCATTTTCCTTTCCAAATCCTTCTTAAATCTCCCAACTAAACACAAAATAAGGAATTAAGATTCTCATAGCAGAGTTGCTATAGTTGGCTAATGGATAATTCTATTTTCACATATCATTTACTCTCTATATACACACTTAATAAATTAATTTTTTTCTTATAATTTTACCACTAAACAAAATGACCAATATAGATATCAATACACACATCAATCATTAAAACTAAATTTTCTTACTACACATCTTTTATATAGAAATTCTCAATACACATTTTCTTTTCAAACAATACACACATCAGAATTACTCTTTAATTTTTTTGATTTTTTCCCACTCCCTTCATGGATCATTATTCACTTTACTATTCCTTTATTATTTCTCATAGATTTGACCGATATTACTCAAATTTTCACCCCTTATCTATTGTTTATAACATTGTTCCATTACGCCCTACCATTATTATTGATTTGTATGATGGAGGATTTACAAAACAATGAATGTTTAGATGTAGGAAAAAAATGATTGTTAATAAAAAAAAATTAGGCAATGAATAGGTGTATTCGTTGAATTTTTTGGTTTGGAAGTGTTTTTATTTCATTGTCGCAATTATCATTCTAAAAATCAATTTTGAAAATGTTACTCCTATACAAAAATTAACTTTTGAAAACATTTCATGTATTCGAAAACCAACTTAAAAAATTGTTATATGTCGAAAATTTATATTTGGTTTTAGAAGTACAAGATCAAAAACTATCGTTTGACTCAGTTGTTGATTGTCGAATTTGTTTTAACGTATTTGGATAACCAATACCAAATTATTTATATCTCGTCGTCAATCAATATGAAACAAATAATGAAAATAGTATAACAATAACGTACACTCAGCATGGTTTTGAGTTTTGAGAAATAATTTTTGGAAATTTCAATTCGTATTCTTTTATTTTAGTGAACATTTTGAATATTCTAATTATTATTATTATTATTATTATTATTTTGCATTCACTTAATTTAGATATACTTAAAAAGCATACAAAAATATAAAAATTCAGTACATATTTTTTTTGTATTTATTTTTTTTTATAGATGCAAATAATTTAATTTTTAAATGTATCTAAATTAAGTGATTCTAAAGAGTAAAAGGTTGATGAAATATGTAAAAAGGTTACTGAAAACAAAAAATAAATAAAAATAAAAAATAAGATTTTAAAATTTACAAAAATATTTTTGAAAACTTAAAACTAAACAGAGTATTAGTTTTTGAAGAATAATAGTAAAATAATACAAAAAATAATTGATTTAATTTTTTATTATTATTATTATTATTATTATTTTGCATACCTTAGTAAATATGGTCGGAAAATTACTGGAGTGTGCCAAAACAATGTCATGTGTGTAGGGCACAGTTTACGTTTTGACTTAGGCTTAGAGGTGTGGTGAGAGTTTATGTTTTATGTGGTGTGTGTCTACATAATGTGTTGGAATTTTTGTGCACATTATATGTTATGGGCATATTTGGAACATTTTGTAACGCCCCAAATTTCTAACCCACATGATAATACAATAATCATGACTCTTTCAAGGAAAACCGAATATAAATCTCCGAACTTACATTACATGATACAATAGTTCTTCATATAACAATACATTAATCCAACAACAAGTAAATAAACAAATAAATACTCCCAAGGATTTGCAAGTTTCCAAGGCTTAAGCTTGGTTACACAAAACGGTTATTCAAACTCACACACATACAGCCCTTGGCTTACACACAGAATCACAGTAAAATGAGAGTCCCGTACTCTCAACACACATTTCCTCGCCTTTAGTTAGGCGACATTACCACATCTTTTCCTGCACAAAAATCCCGTAGGGTGAGCATAAAGCCTAGTAGGAAATCCTTAGCAAAGTATATACATTTTATACAAGTCTCAATAGATGAAATGCACATGCCATGCTATGCCCTTTTGAAAGAAAATCACATCTTCATCTTTGAAAACCATCATGCTCGATGATGTTATACAATTTCAATACTTCAAAACTTAACAATTCATTTCAAGAGTGGTAAATACAACTCTGGTAATTAGGGCTGGGCATAAGGTCATCCAACCCGCCCAAACCACCCTACTTGATCCGAACCGCACATGTATGGGCGGTTTCGCAAACACATTAGGGTAGGGTGCGGTTTGGATTTTATCTAATTTTCGGGTTACGGGCGGGTTGCGGGTTTGACCCACACCCGCCCAACCTGCCCGCATAAAAATCTTCTTTTCTTTTTCTTTTTTTTAAATCTGACCGTTCAAAAAAATCCATTTTTTTAATTGCATTTTGGTTTTGGATGAATGTAAGTTAATGAATTTTTATTTTTATTTTTTGCATTTTGGATGAATGTAAGTTAATGAAGAATTATTATTTTTTTTTGTATTTGGGTTAGGAATGATGAATGTAGGATTTTTTAATTTGGGTTAGGAATGATGAATGTAGGATGAATGCAAGTTAATGATAAATGTAGATTTTAAATGATTTGTTTAGGTTACGAATTGATTTTGTTGTGTTTTTTATTTTATAAGTTTTAATTCATTAATTATTAATGTTAGAGTATTTTAGAAAATGGGAGGAAAAAGGTCTAAAAGAAATATTGATAAAAAATGAGGGAAAAAAAAGGGTTTAATAAAAAAATTTTGAAAAAAAGTTCAATCCGCAAACCGCCTGCAACCGCCCGCGCAACCGCAAACCCTATCTGCATAAACCGCAAACCGCATTGCGGGCGGTTGCGAGTTGACTTTTTCTCAAACCGCATACATGCGGGCGGGTCTAAACCGAACCACAAACCGTCTATAGCGATCCCGATTTTCCCTTTCGATATCTGTTGTATTCCAGACTTTGGTTTCTCAGAGTTAGTAGTTGTATCTATCTTATTGTCATCCTTTGATTCCATTTGTTTGAGTTTTAGGATGTGTTGGGCATGTTTCAAGCAGGTGGGATGAGCCTTGGTCTAAAATTTTGTTGCTAGTTTTTTTTGGTCATTCCGCTCGAGCGGAGATTGCACACTCCTAGTATTTTGGTACTCTGTAAAACTTCTGCAGGTGTGATTTCTACGCTCGAGCGGATTTCCTGTGCTCGAGCGGGTCGCGCTCGAGCGGGCTTGTTGGAGCTTGAGCAGGTAGTACATTTTTGGTGTGAGTTCTAGGAGGGGGAAATCTACACTCAAGCGGACTGGTTTTCGCGCTCGAGCGGATGTACTTTATTCTTGTGTCTTGGCGCTCGAGCGTGTCTAGATTTTTGTGTATGACGCTCGAGCGTCCTGTTCTCCGCTCGAGCGGAAATGTCGTATATCAGAAGGGAGGTAGGCATTTTTGAATCACTTTTTACGTTCACTTTCTCTCTCTTACTTTCCCAAAACCGATTTTGAGAGCCTCTCTCTCTAAAGACTCCCTTCTCTCTAGAGTTTGATCTAGTTAGAGTGTTTCCCTTTCCTTTGGCCTTTGTAAAAGTTGTGTTGATCGTCGAGGGCTTCGTTTTGATCTGTGGATCTTGGAGTTTGGAGCATTTTGGTTTTCTTCATCTCCTTCCCTTGGGCTCCAAATTTGAGGTAGGAATTCCTACTCATGTGTCATCGTGTATGACAGGTGAAAGAATACATTAACTTTATGTATTGTTTGATGATATATATGATAATTGTTTATATGCATTGTGTTGT